AGGATTATATTTAAAGCCAGCCTGGGCAGGAACTCCATGAAACTCTTATCTCCCATTAAGCACCAAAAATAAATAAATAAACCAGAAGTGGCGCTGTGGCTCAAGTGGTAGAGCACTAGCCTTGAGCTAGCCTTGAGCAAAAGAAGCTCAGGAACAGCATCCAGGCCCCAAGTTCAAGCCTCAGGACTGGCACACCACTGGGCTGTCCTGGGCACCTTGTTTTGGAGAAGGAACATGGCTTCATGTGTCCTGGGACACATGGTCTGTGCTTGCTGGGCCCCCGATGGGGATCCCTCTCAGTGATAACTGTCCACAGGTGTGGTCCAGAAGAAGCAGAACAGAGGGTAGACTTGCCAGTGGTCAAATTGTGGCCCCTGCCCTATCTTTTCCACCCCCCTTGCCCACTGGTTGCCTGTTCTTATTTAGCTGCCGTCATTAGCAGAAAATGTCAGCTCGCTCGCTCACTCGGCAAGTGAAATGTTTTTGTTTAGTCAATAATTGCACCACTGCATCAAAGGAAGGTCCCAAACTTTTTCTTTTGAGATTCTCGTCAGTGTCTCAACAGTTTTCTCAGCTGTGAATCAAACAAGGCAGCAAATTTTAGCAGAAGATTACAGCCATTTTTCCCCTTTCTTCCTCAAAGCTGTCATCTAGCAGCAGATTTCAGCAAAGTTGTTCGCTCTCTCCCATCTGCTCATCCTGCACAGTGCCAGCCCCCTGGACAGCGCTCCTTCATGCTGGCACCAGCACGCCCTGGGCCCACAGTAGGGGAGCAGTGTGCCTGGAGAGAAGGCAGTGCCTCTTCTCCTGTGGCTCTGGCTGCCAGGAATGGGGCCTTGTTGACCTTTCAGTGGCTCCATTGCCTCTACTGGGAGATGGCTATCTGGTCATTCTCAAGCCTGCCAACCTGAGCCCACAGCCAGTAGTAAGTTTTATAAGTGCCCAGGGACAGAAGTTGGCATCCTGGGCTGATGCCTTGGATACCTGAATTGAATAGTTCCATTTGGGAGGACAGTGACCTGGTACCCTGCTGCTGACCCACCCTTGTGCAGAGCTGGAAGTGTCCAGTAGTGAGTGGTGCGTGGGTCCCTCTGAGCGGTGATGAAGCTGTTCTGGCCTTGGCCATCAGTGATACCCACAGCTCATCTTCTTGTCCTTGTGGCCCCTTGGTCTCTGCTGTTTGGCTACAAGCCCCAATCCAGACTCTGAAGCCCCTTTTTGTCAGGTTGGTCCAACACAATCCAGTCCGCAGCCTCAGTGGAAGTTGCTGGGTACTGAGTGAGAGTATGTACCATGCAGCCAGGCAGTACCACCCCTGTGACAGCTCCTTAGGATACACAGATGGCCACTTCCATCTGCTTGTCTTCAGTTTGCTTTCGTGTGGTATGGTGGAATGCTCTCAGGCTAGGGCTGTCAGCTCAACCTGCATACTAGGGCAGCTCCACTGCAGGGTTCCTGTACCCTACTCTTGAGTGCCCCACTATGATTGGGGCAGAGCTCAGAGTGAGCCAGTAAGCAGGAAAAGCTGCTGAGGGCCTATTGGAGTCATCTGGAGTGAGGCTAGTCCTTTCTGCATACCTGCTGGTTTTTACTTCACACCTATGTTAACCAGTTGGAAGTCTGATTTCTAGGCTCACAGGAATGCCTTCTGGTAAATGCTCTGATTATCATCCATCCTTTCAATACATGTTTAACACTCATGCCAGGCACAAATCTCAGAGCTGACAAGTAGGGAAAAAGACAGGCAGCCCTGACTTCATAGACCTGATCTGACAGAGGACAAGTAAAATAATGGTTTAAGGGCAAAGCATACTGGTACATGCATGTAATCCCAATTATGCCAGAGGCGTAAATCGAAGGAATGTGGTCTGAGATCATTACAGGCAAAAATGCAATACTCTATCTGTAAAATAACTAAAGCAAAAGGACTGGAGGCCCAGCTCAAATGGTAGAGAAGTTGTCTAACCAACACAAAGTCATGAGTTCAGAACCCCAGTACTATCACACATATACACCTTAGGAGCAAGAGCTCTTAAAGAGAAGAGATGGGGAGTCAGGTGGAGTGATATGTTGCCTTGGTGACAGAATTGTCACCAGGCTTGATGACTCCTGTTCCTTTCACAGAGTGCGGGGCTTTTCCACATCAGTATTACACTGGTTGTCCAAGGGCCTGGATAACCATGGCCACTGCTGAGGAAGATGCTAGCTTTCATGGATTGCTGGACATACCTACCTGACTGGAAGCAGGGTGCTCCTCGGAGGTACAACCCTATCCTAGCCATGCTGGTGTCCTCAGGACAGTCCCTGTGTCTCTGAGTCTTGTTCGTGCACAGGGCTCTTCCCAGATGGGCAACAGTGTTGAGTTCCTGGGAAGAAGGATGGAGATGGCCAGAGATTCCCACAAGGCCAGAATCCATGGTTCTCAGGCGTTGGAGAGCTACTGCTCTGCCCTGGAGACAGGAGTCTCAGAGTCAGGGAAGAGTGTATGCAGGGTCTCACTGCCCTTGTTTCCAGCAGAGGGCCCAAAAGATTGGCTTGCTAACCTGGACAGTGCAGACACCAGAAACAGTGCTTTTTGGTGCTGGTATTAGGACATGATCGCAGTGCCTGTGTGCTGTCCTTTAGCTTTTTTTGCTCAAGAATGATGCTTACCAGCTCCACTTTTGGCATTTTGGTGGTTGTGACAGGGTCTCAGGAACTTTACTTTTACTGACTCACCTAGCTTTGAACTGCAATCCTCTAATCCTTGACCCAAGTAACTAGGGTTACAAGAGTGACCACCAGTATCAGGCTTTAATATGTTTAACAATTGTAAACAATTGTTAAACAATTGTAAGTGGGGGAAGGGAGTGTAGTTGTGGAGGTGGGAGGGAAGGGATGGTAGGGGAAAAACAAAGGATGAAGTAACGATGCTTGATAGGAAATGTAATCATTACCTTGCTCATGTAACTGTAACCCCTCTGTACAGTATTTTTACAATAAGAAATATTATTAAAAAAAGAATATAAAAGCATGTTCTGGGACACATGAAAGCTCCATGAAATTCTGGTGCTACTTTATTGGCACATGGGTACACATATGCGTACACATTCCTGTTTCTGGCTGTTGGATCACCACAGCCAAGCAGTGGGTAATTGGGACAGACAAGAGGTGAGAGAACCCAAGTCTGTCATTGAGCCACAGGTAACATTGACCTGACTGCTCCAACTCCACTCAAGGGTGAGGAAGGCTAAGACCCAGGCCCCGGAAGACAAGAGCCAGCATCTGCCATCAGAAGTCTCTCCTGAGGCAGGCATGGGCGATGGATTTCACACACTTGGTTATCTTCCCAGACTGTTAAAATTGGATGAAATAACAATCCCTTTCAGCCCTGACAGCCTGTGAAGCAGCAGGGGTTCCAGGAGTCTCTTCATCCTTCGGGGTTTACAAGGTTCTCAGAAAACCCGTGAAGAGTGAAGATCCAGGCAAATCCTCTCCTGCCCTGCTTCCCTCACCCTGGCCCTGCTGTGGCTCCCTCCTCCTCCTCAGCACTGCTGGGTGGCCTCTCCCTTCCTCCCCTGCCCTGGAGAAGAGCCCTGGAGGTGGCCTCGGGAACCATGTTTGCACACCCAGTTTCTTTTGCGGTAGCTATGCAATTGCTGGAGAGCCTGTGGGTCTTGGACCCCACGTGACTCTTTCATTAGGGGACTTGGAGGGTAGCAGTTTGCTGTGAAAACATGAGGATGCTTTAATTCCCGACTTGATGCCCAGCGAGGCTCTCCTGGGTCTTGCCCATTCTACCTCATCTGTGAACCCACTTCCTGGGGGTTCTGGATGACTGGCCAGGAACTGGCAGGCTTGGGCCCCCAGTGAAGTGCCTCAGGTTGCACAGCCTGTGCTAGGTGACACTAGCCTTTAGAAATGGAGGCACAGCGGCTAACAGCAGCTTGGGGCCTGAAGCACAGAGCTACCTTACTAAGCAGCGTGTCTACCCATCCTCTTTTCCCAGAGCATGGGGTGCTGTGAACAGTAGATGCTCTCTCTGCTCCCTTAGGAGGCTGGAAGATGTGCAGGCAGGGACTCTGACCACTTCTTCAATTATGTGTAAGAAGGCATTGCCTCCTCCATGGTCACAAAGATACTATTTAATGTGTTGGAAGTTTTTTTCTGGTAATTTTGAACTCAAAACATGTAATTGCTGAGAAAGCACTGTACCTCTTGAATTACAGTCCCAGCCTTTTCTTCCGTTAGGTTACTTTTCAGATAGTTTCACTTTTTTTTTTTTTTTCAGGCTTGCCTGGGACCACAATCCTCCTGATTTCTCTCTTCTAAGGATGAGCCATTGTGCCCATTCTTCTATATTCTTAAAGGTTCAATCTTTTATACTTAGATCTGTCACCCCCTGAGGCTGCTGTCTGTGTACGGCAAAAGGTCAAGGTCACAAGGGTTCTGGTAGACTCTTTCTCTGCTACCACACAATGTTAGTGGCTGTAGATCTACTGTGAAGATCAATCCTGTTTGTCTCTCTCTCCCTTCTCTCTCATCTCCCATCTTCCCCCCTCTCCCCTTTCACTTCTCTCTTTCTCTCCTCACTTTTTAAGTGAGCCCAGGCACTCACACATTTGCATCATGGTTTTGGTCTTAGGATTGGTGTTGAAGACCAATGGATGGATTTCCACATATGAAGTGCCCAACAGATGAGCCAGTTGGTTGGTTGGTTTTCTTCTACCAATTCAGTGACTCTTCAAACTGAATAACAGTGTGACCCCTGATTGGTAATAGATCAGAACCCAGGCTGATGAAGGGATTCTCCTGGCCACACAGCAAGCAGCATGAGGACCTTGGGGTTTGGGCTGATGTAGCTCCCCACGCCATGCAGTGTGCATCGTATTCAACACAAAGCTCCTACTTTGCTACCAAAACTTTTCTGCTGGTGAATGGCTCACTTCTCTCTTAATTCCTAAAGCCTCATGGATCTGGTCCAGCCCAAGGTAACCCCTATTCTGTGCCTTCTCCCCCAGGGCGACTATGACCAGAGCAGAACCAAAGTGCTACACATGAGCCTGAACCCCACCAGCATGGCCAAGCAGCGCCTGCGTGAGGACAGGGACCGGCTGCAGGAGGAGTGTGAGCGGCTACAGGGGCTCTTACTTGCCCTGGAGAGAGGAGGCCCTGTCCCCACGGATCTAGAGTCTGTTGCTGGCCTACCCTCATCCAAGGAGGTGACAGGTAGGTTTCTCCACCTGGCCCCTGACATCCAGTGGGCAAGCCCTTCTGACATCAGTCACACGTGCAGGTTGGCCACATGTGTGGCTAGACAGAGGCTATTGGTTTGGTGTCCTGCAGAAACACAGCCTCTTCCCCAGGAGATGTGCAAACAGGGTTAGTCATCCATGCTGTAGGCGGCAGACACAAGTCAAACGGCAGTGCAGCAGCAAGTGGCTAAGATCTTCTCAGACCCCCTAAAGCAAATTAATACCATTTATCAGTTTGTATGTGCCCCATTAATCAAGAGTAAATCCAATCCTCCCAGAAAGCAGAGTCATCTTTCACTGGTCTGAGCACACTTCACAGAGCCCCGGGGGCCTTTGCATCAGGCCTGTGACGCCAAGGAAGAATGAGACCAGCACAGAGCCAGTGCCTCTTGCTGCCCTCTCCAGTCTGTAAATCAGGGTAACAATCCTTGGAACGTGCATCTGTCACTTCCAATGCAATAGAGTGGTGGCTGGAGTCTGTCATGCCAAGCTTTGGAGAGTGTTGCAGTCACCAGGTCCTGCCCTGGCCGTGTCACTCTACAGCACAGAGAAATGCAGGTCATCTGTGCAAAGGAGAGGAGTATCAGCTCAGTCTTCACACAGGCAAGGCCCCAGGAAGGCTGAGGGGCTTGAGGCACCTGCCATGCTCTCCACAATGGACAGTGCCTGGTCCTGCTCCATTCAGGGCCATGGGGTGACCTGAGAGGAAGGCCCCTGGCCAGGCTCTTCTACAGTGGCCTGGAACGCAATCCTGTCAGCACCAGGTTCTAGCACCTGGAGACTACTGTTTTTGCCTCAGTCTAGAGGATATTGCCAGAGTGCAATGCTGAGGCACGAACTATAGGCTGTTTTCCTGATATTTGATGTCACATGTGTTTGTGAGTTGCTTTTCATCCTGTAATACATTTTCCTATTTCCTTGTCACATATTTGTCTTCTGTGAAGGTACTCAGCACTTCCTTTGGGAATCTTTGAGCTGGGGTGTTGTTGTTATCTTGGGTCCCTGCCTGAGACACATAGCCCAGACTGGTGTGCGGGGTGGGGGTGGGGGGCAGATTGTTCTGTCATTGTCACTCCTCTGTCATCTTCTTCCTGCTGCTCCCACCTGAAGGCAGTGTCTTCACAGCCGAGGGACACTCACTACTCAGCAGGGCCTGGTGCCGAGGAGCAGCCAGGACCAAGCTGGAGAGGCATCCATGTACTCCCTTGTGTCATGTTGCCATTTCCTGCATCTTCTGTGCCTCAGCAGTCAGATTTTAGGCTATAATGTCTCAGGTCCCTTTGTAGAGCCTGGCCCACAGTAGGTACTCCATAACTGTTCATGCTGTGTGTTGTTATTGTCTTTAGTCTTGTTTGCCAGCATTCTGTGGTCCCTGGAGCCCCAACAGTCTTACTGTGCAAGTTTCTAATCTGTGCCTGTGTCCTTGTAAAACTGGTGGTGGCAGGGGAAGAGTTCCTGAATCTCCTTGGAGTTCAGCCAAGCACCAGGCAGTGCCAGCAGCAGTGGGATGCTGGGCCTTTCACATCTGAGGTTTATTGGCCTTACATACTGCGTGTCTTGCCTGTGAGCAGTGAGCACAGTGCACACCTCCCCTCACACCTTACCCGCCTCTATCCCAGCTTTCAGAATTTGTTTTGCTTCTCTGCAGGAACTTATACTTGACCCTTAAGTCCTCTCCCATTTTCTGTAGATCAGAGCATGCAGACACATTAAAAACGTGCCCAGGCCACCTCTCTGCCACCAGAACAGTGGAAAGGATGACAGTCTCTAGGTGCTGCATTCTGTTCCTCACTGCTACAGCCCTCACACTCCTTACCTCTCCCCACTCACACCTCTCACTTCCTTCAGCACCAGTGGCTCCAGGTCCCAGGGCACCAGCTACACAGGCAGACCACTGTAGCAGATGCACCTGCACCTGCCCGATCACCAGCCTATCAGTTGTTCCCCATAGAGTTCCCCCAGCCTGGTTACTTGCCAGGCCATCCCACCCTGCCAGCCAGCTTGACACCTCTCACTTCCTTTAGCACCAGTGGCTCCAGGTCCCAGGGCACCAGCTACACAGGGAGACCACTGTAGCAGATGCACCTGCACCTGCCCGATCACCAGCCTATCAGTTTTCCCCATAGAGTTCCCCCAGCCTGGTTACTTACCAGGCCATCCCACCCTGCCAGCCAGCTTGAGGAGTGCTGTGAAGAGGGGAAGGAGGGTGTTATGGCTGGCCCAGGTGGAAAACAGAAATGGCACAGCTCTCATGAGGTCATCTGTAAGCTATAGGCAGTGTTAGGCAACTTTTCACCACCCTCCATCCACACCCCAGAGCTGCTTATTCTTGGCCTTGGTCATAAAGATCCAATCCCTGTCTTCAAGCTTTGGTGTCCCTCCTACCGTGTGTGTGTGTGTGTGTGTGTGTGTGTGTGTGTGTGTGTGTGTGTGTGTGTGTGTGTGTGTGTGTGTGT